TCTCTTTCAATCACATTTGAAAGTATTACTTTGGATAAATTAATTAGCATCACATTTCAGTTGATTATTTTTTTAACAATTCTTCTTGGCATTCAAGATATTATTTTAATAAATTATTGAATGGCAGCTAAAATTGATATTTGACTTTTGAACACTGTTTCACTATTGTTATTAAAATTAATGATATTTTCTGATTGTACCTATCACCTAAGCCCTGGAAATCATATTATTTTCTGCTATGTAACCTTGATTCATCACTAATTTTCTATTCTTTTTTTTATAATGATTTCCATGTTGACTATTCACAGGCTCACTTCAAGGAAGAAGGAAAGTCCCTCCTTGACTTGTAGAATTTCTCTAGCTACCTCCATTAAACTAATTTATTGACTTTCAAATCTTTTTAAAAATATAGTAATTAAAGTTTCATAACAGTCTGCTTCGCTGATGCCTTAAAATACCAGAAACATCCATATGTTTACTAAAAATGCTCTTGTCAAAAAAAGTGTTTTTCTTCTTTTGATATGTGACCTGAGGCCTACTTCTATCTCAAAACACAAGTAAATTCTGTTATATAATAACTCTTTGCTACCACATGTTTTAACTCTGGTATTAGTTAATCCTTATACTTAGAATTATTGTAATAGAGGGAGTTTCAAAAAAAGAAAGATTTGACAGTTATATTAGAGAATTTCATGAAGGGAAGCAAAATCTCAAAAGAAAAGTAACTTGATTGTCAACCATTATCTGCCTCTCAATATTTGAATTTTCCACATCCTCATGCAGAGAATCAGAATTTTCATATCTATATGAATAGAAACATTACTTATATGTAAGAACTGTTTTGTAGCAAAGATGATTGTACTTCATAAGAAACTTAGATATTATCAATAATATTCTTTATGTTTATATATTTATACACATATATGTGTATATATATATATATATTTAGGACTATAAGCAACAGAATGTGGGGTTTATCCCTGTGTCTGCACTTAGGGATAACTCCTTGTGGTTACTTTGCGTACTGTATGTGGGTACCAGGGCTTGACCCTGTTTGGCTGTGCACATGGATGTTTTATCTGCTGTCCTCTCTCTCAGGCACATCAATTATATTTTTCAGTAGAATCCTACTATATTTGCAACCTATGTTCTAATGTTTACCATCTTGAGTACTTGGAAATAAATATGTATCTTTTTTTAATAATTTGAACATACAGATATAGGAGCTTAATTGCGAGGTCTTCTGTTTAATTTTAGTTAATGTTTTCACAAATGTGGACCTCAACTCCTTCACTAGACTACTCACACATATATGCATATGATTCACAACATTTATGAAAAATTTTACACTGTTCAAATAAAATATCCCTTAAAGGAAACATGAATTCATTTCTGGGGTAATGGCAGATAAAGCCCAGATTAGAGAAAGTATGTATAACCCTTCAGAAAAGGAAGACTTGAAGGATACAGAAGTTCAGAAGATTAAGTAATTAATTATTGTTTTCGTTGTTGTCGTTGTTGTTGTTACAGCAGTTGGTACTACTGATATGCACTGCTGGCTCTTCATTCAGGGGTGTTGAATCCTGGAACACTCAGGGAATCATACCATGTTTCTGGGACAAACTCAGGTCGGCTGCATGCAAGGCAAGCTCCCTAGATGCTGTACTTTTCTTTCCAACACCAAGACTTAACTTGACACTTAAACACAAGGACTACCATATGACTGAAGGATACAAAATCTGAATGAAACTGAATTTATAAAAATAACCAAGTCTAATATTTTATTTAAAAATACAGATTTGTTTTATATAGGAATAGTATTACATGACAGCAACTGAATCAATGCATTCTTTGAAAATTTATCCAGTAGTACATGAAATATAGAGTAATGTGTTAAGTTCTTTTGCCACTCATTTTTAATAGCCACAACTTTCAGTCTCTAAAACTGTTACTCCTTTTAACATTTCTTAAAGTATTAAACTTTTCATGCATATTTAAAAACAACTTTGAGTTACCAATGTTGATATTCAGTGCAGAGTATTATTTACATATGTTTGCCTTTAAAAATTTAGTGATGATATATCACCCTTTTAGCAAAATACTTTATAAAATGTAATTGTCTTAAATCCAGAGTTGAAATGTTTTTAAAAGCTGTGAAAAAGTTCAATTATCATTACTGAAAAAAAAATAAGTACAATTCATTTTTACCACATTTAATAATTAAGTTTACTTTATTGTTTCTCATTAATTTTAGCCTAATTATAATGAAGTAAAGTTAATACCTGTTAAAACCAGGACAAAATCATTTCTACTTATATTGAAGTAAAAATAGGACTGAGGATCAGAGTCATATTTTGAGAAAAGTGTTTTATATCGATACGGTAATGCTGATATACTGGCAGGGGGCATAAACCAAGGTTTTTATAATGTGTTAAAATATTAAGCAATGACATCTACCTTAAATCAGACATCTGTAATCAGACTTCTCCATTGGCAGTATAAGAAGCATTTATAACAGAATCTATTAGGACATTTCATTATACAAACCCTCATATTTGATATTTTAACCTGAAGATATAGCTCATGTTTTATAAGAAACATCTCTCTTTATCACCCTTCCACATTTGTTAAACAAATTTAATGATATGACATCTAAATGTGCAGGTGTGAAAACACAGTAATACTTCATATTCATCTAAGAACAGTTTAAGCAGACTATTTGCAGTCCTGTTTCATAGATAAGAGTGATTTTATGTTCAGCACAATGTATTTTAAGAAGTAGGTGTGACAGATACTCTTATCAGCCACAAAATGATAAAAGATTGATTGATTTCAAGAAATATCACCAGCTATTAGGAGATACATCCTGCCAAAATACCAGCTGTAAAAAGTATTCAATCTAAGGAGATCACTTTTGGGCCCCACTGTTAAACAACGGAGTTATACTAAAGTCTGAGTACATCACATGAAGCTTTAATAGAAAATTTCCCCCCCCAGAAACTAAGCATAGGCTTTCCTGTGCTAAGAACTTACTAAGTATCATCCCACATGTTATAAAAAATGACTCTCATTACCTTAATATTCCAGTACTCTTTTCTTTTTTGCAGAAATAATCTGAAGTAATCAAATTTCTGACTAAGCAGATCAGTGTGAGAAATGAGTTCCTGCAATAAAAAGGGAGTGTGTGTATATGGGCTGTGGGGGAGGGTTAGGCATTTTTGACTTGAAAACTTCCCCCCTACTGCTTGAAATTGATACACAGCAGAAGAATTCGGAAAGTAGGATTGACAGAAAAGAAAATAGAATTTAATGTGGAAGGGATTGAGGAATGGCAGGATTCAACTTAGATTTTCGTGTTTAAGAGGACTTAATATAGGGAAAACATGTTTTGAAATGGAATTTCCAAGTTGAAAGGAAACTGCCATTTAACCCAGCTGTGCATAGAGCAAGTGGAGGGAACATCCCTAGAATTCCTTCCTGAACAAGCTTGTTGTGACCATTAGTTAGATTAGTTAAGTGAAAGTGTCTCATTGTGAGTGATCTGATCTCCAGCATTCCAAAAGAATTCATCAATCAACTGCTTATGGGTTGGAAAGAGAAACCATCTGTCTTTCAATTCAGAAGAGATCTTAAGACGAAAATGAGGTAATATCAGAGAAAAATCTACTCGGTTGAATTTATTTCTGGAAATAACAATTAAGACACAACTTGGCATTGTTTTCGAAATGCTTGAGATGCTTGAAAAACAATGGCATAGGATAGTGTTTTAATAATTCTGTACAGCTCTGAGATGGATAGTATCTTCGAGGTCTTAAAATTAATCGAGAGTGCTACAAGGATCAATCACGAGAGAACAATCATTATCTGTTTGTCATGGTTAGGGTTTTAAAACACTTTAAAACTGTAAACATATTTCTGGAGCCTACTCTACCCCACCCTTCGGATTATAAGGTGATTCTCTAGCTGTACAGTTTTTGAATGAGGTTCAAAATAGTTCACGAGAAATTGAGACTCCTGAAACGGTCACCGGATCAGCCAAAAGTATGCCAGTGCCCTCTCCAGAGAGTATAGAGAAATATGTCTATGAGACATCAGGCTTTCTGAACTACAGAGATTCTGAAGCTTCTGTGTTTCCAAGGTAGGAAGAAACAAATACTGATGTTTAGAAAGGAGAAAGCATTTATAAAACGCTGAAGGTCTCTGAAACATGTAATGCTGTCACGTCCTATACTGGGAATGGATCATAGTTTGCTAATGTACCACCAAGTGAAAAATGCCCTTAAAATAATTTTGAAATGCATATTATATAACCCACAGCCTCGCCGTAATCTGTATCTCTTCCACTTGCCCCAAATTAGTTTTGTGATCGGAAATTCAGAATCTTGTACTCTGAGAAACATTTTTTTTTTGCAGCTGTAATTTTCAAAATAAAGTATGAAAATATGTTCATCTTAAAAAAATCACTGAAGATGGACCGTGATATAGTTAGTTGCATTTTGGCAAAAAAAAAAAAAAAGAGAAGAAAGAAAAGAAAATCCCTTGAGACTGGCATTTTCAGAAGCTTTGGGAAAGCAAGCATTTCTTTTCTGCAAAGAATAGATAGCAATCAACCGACTTGCAAATCACTAGTTGCCAATAACTAGTCATTTTTTTTTTTTTTTGCTGGGAATGTGAAAGTACGGTAAGTACGGTACCTCAGTGCTCAAAACACTTCTTCCCCTCCCCTTTTCATTCAACCTCTTGCTCTGCAGACTAGTGACTTGTTTAGAACTTACCGAAGTTTCCCAAAGCCAAGCCACGCAGCTGCTCCTAATTCAGGTGCCGGGTCGGTGGAGAGAGAGCCTGGCTCAGCCCCTGACGATGCAGGAGGCTTCTCCACTTTATCAATCATGCATGAATTCCTGAGCGCGTGCCCCGAAGGGATCACACGCGATGCAATCCCGAGCGAAACAAACAAATTAATTAATTAATTAAAAAAAAAAAAAAAGAGGTAGCCTTACCTGCTGGCAGCAACCACAGCTGCAAGGAGGAGCAGCAGAACTGGGCAGCAGCAGCAGCAGCAGCAGCAGCAGAATGCAACAACCCAGACTTGCAACTGAAGGTGAGACCCTCCTTCCTCTCTGTCTCTCGCTCTCTTTCTTTCACACTGGCTCTTTGATTATTACTGTTGTTGTTATTTCTTTCTAGATCACTGTGCCAACAAACTGCCTTGCAGTGACTGCTCCTTGCATCTGCTGGAGGTTCTCGCAGCCGCGGCGGCCGGGAGAGGACAGCACTTTCTTCCTGGAAGAGGATGCCTCTCTTCTCAGAAACGCTTGGACCCCTTCTCTGTGGCTCCCTCCACGTTCACCCTTCAGATCAATAATGCTCTCCCAGCGGCTGTAGCTCAACTGCAGCGGTGAGCCGGGAGCCAATGGGGGCCCAGGATTCCCTCCCAAGTCCTCTCCCCGCCCTCAAAACAAAACACAGCGTGCCTTTGACACATCCCGGAGTTGTGAAAAGTAATTGAATCCTCTGTAGGAAATGGATCTGGTTTGTTCTTTTCCTTCCCCCCTAGCGTTCCCAGGCAGAATGCTGTGAATGAATCCAAGGGCTCCAATCGCTCTCCAAACACTCATTAAGCCAGCTTAGCAGAGGGTGAGGATGGGGCACCGGGAAAGTGATAGCACCTGGGTTAGCACCTGGAGCTTTGGCGTTCAAATGCTGGAGGGGAGTGGAAACGCAGAAGGCCATCAGCTGGGTGGCAAAACGTGGGTTCCAGCACTGACAAAGTATCTTGATGCTGTGTGTGTGTGTGTGATGCTGTAAACATCAAAGCCCAACTTGGAGACTGCCTCATTCTTTAAATGCTTTCTGAGCAAGAATCAGCCGGGAACGGGTGCTAGCAATGGAATTATAACAATCGTTAGCTAAACAGGACCCGTTTTTAGGCTGCTTGAGCTTCTGATTTTCTGAGAAACCAAGAGCTGTTGATTTGCTCAGCATAGTTTGCTTAATCTTGGTGGATGGATATTAGAAGAGTGTTTATAACGTTAACTTTTATAAGAGAGCTCGTGCAACTTCATAAAACATCATGGTGATGACGCTCTTATCAAGTGCAACACAATTGAAGATGATCATATCACAGGCTGCCCTATTCCCAAATCATAATGCACATTTATATAGGATCACCTTTCTGTATCTTTCTATTGACTCATAATATAACTAGAACTCAGGAGAACTAGGAGACTTCAACCCTCACTCCCCCCACTACTGCAATACCCATAGCATTTCGAAAAGACTAGATCACGAGGCAGATTATGAATAAGTACACATTTGCTCAGGTCTTGTCCTGGGCAGTTATAAGATGAGAGGATCCTAGGTAACCTGAAATGTCTGACATAGTCTTAGAAGTTTAGTGGATGGAATGAAAATACAGCAGGTAGAGCACTTGCCTTGTGTTGGATCCCAGCATCCCATATGGTTCCCTGAGTACCAGTAAAAGTGTTCCATGAACACAGACTTAAGGGTAAGGGTAACCACTGAGTACTGTATGGTGTGGACTAGTTCTCTATGTCTCTCTGTGTCTCTGCCTCTGTCTCTCTCACACACACACACTCAAACACAAACACACAGGGTTTATATAGAAATCTCACAAGGAAGCAATGGGTCCAATCACAAACATGATTCAAATTGTCCACATGATATTTTTTCCCCTCAAAGTTACAGTATTCGAAGCATCTTCCTATGTGGAAACATCATTCAGAATGAAGATAACAATGCCTATGAAAAAGGACTTATCTTTGGTAGCCTAAGTCAGTTAGAGGCTCAACCTGATCTCACAATCTTCCTCAGGACACCCTCCTACAGATTCCCTAATGAATTACCATGCATTGAATACAAATGCACTAAAACAGTTCATCTAGAAGGGTCTACTTATTCTCCAAAAATAATAAGTCCCGTTATCTATTCCATGTCAAGAACAAGGCTTTATTAGGGATCATCATTTAATCTAACCATGTCAAAAATATTGAGAGTGAGATCTGTAAGAAGTTTCAAATATATGTATAAAACAGAATAGGATTGGTAGCGCAAATGACTGCACAAACAAGAATGCCTTTTCAATGTCACTGTTGAATAAGAACAAAATTAACGTGTCTCTCTGAAATCTTTTTGCTCCACTGAAATATTATAAATGGGTTGATGCATTTTGGTGGAGCCAAGCTTTGTGTGTCCTGACAGGCTGAAATAGCTTGGGGAGACTTTACAAACCAAACAATTTTGTGACCTGTCTATCATGTGAAAGAGGCATGGAAAAGTGCAATATTACAGCACTGTATGCAGTGTCACTGTGAGAAGGTGAATGCTAACTCTATTGTAACTTACTTCTGCATTCAATAACATTTTATTCAGCGAATTCTCTGGCTAAATGTAATCTCTTGGACTTTTGGAATGTAAAAAAAATGATAATAAAATGAAAAATCGTGAATATTTCTTATTCCACAATATAAAAAGTGCTTCTTCTTTCTCTTGAACCCTTCTTTTGATCAAACTTTAAAATGCATTGAATAATGGATTATTTTTTTTTGTAGAATTTTACTGTGTGATCATAGTAGCAGAGGATTTGCTCAGGATCTTACTGAAACAGCAAATTCTCAAGGGACAGAGACATAGTACAGGGTTTCAGACACTTGCCTTGCATGTAGGTGGCCCCAGTTTGATCCCCATTACCACATTGGTCCCCTGGGACATACCTCGGCATACATCAAGAATAGTCTCTGAGCATCATTGGGTATGACCCAACCCACCCACCCTTAATCAATCACAAAAGCATAATAAATATGCATAATTTAAACCAATTATAAGAAGAAACATTGCTAAATTAATCATGATGACTGGAATAAGGCATTTAACTGGAAAATCAAACGCAATTTTGAGGAAAGGAAAATTTAGATCAAATAGTTTCTTAAAAGAATGAATATTCCGCAAAGGAGGATATTAATATTTTTTAAAAACTAGCAGATCTGTAAAGCTAAGGTGATAGAACTAAATGATTTAGCAATGAGTAAATCTGGATGGCTGTTTGGAAAATAAATGACATCATCAAATTTATGCTGAAGGAAGGTTACTCTGTTGGCAAGGGAGATGTTAAAAAGAGAGCAAACAGATAGAAATTCATCTGCATCCTGGAAAAAAGTAAATCATGATGTAATGTAGGCCAGAACTCCAACATTGTTACCCTCACATTTCCCAGTCAATCAAGATGCCATGAGGTGCTTACATTAATTTGACTTCCTAAACACATTATTTTAATCATTTTTAACAGCATGTGTTGCTTGATTCAGATGTTTATACTTCTTTCCTGCTGGCAACTATCTCTTCATGGGCAACTCTTACTTGGCTGATATTAGACAACTATAGCTTTACTCCACAACTTCTAGAATCTACAAAGACTAATGGGCTGGAGAGATAGCACAGTGTGTAGGGCGTTTGCCTTGCATGCAGCCAACATGGCCCACCTGAGTTTGATTCCTCCACCCCTCTCGGAGAGTCTGGTAAGCTACTAAGAGTATCTCGCCCTCACGGCAAAGCCTGGCAAGCTACCTGTGACACATTTGATATGCCAAACACAGTAACAACAAATTCTCACAATGGTGACATTACTGGGGCCACTTGAGAAAATCGATTAACAATGGGAGGACAGTGACAGTGACAGTAATGAAGACTAATGGGATATTTTCAGTTTCACAAAGGATGTAAAGCAGTTATACAAACCAGTGTATTCTCATGTGAATAATCAATATAACTTTTACTTAAATGCAATAACATCAGGGCCAAAGCTGATAGGGTACTTGTCTTGCAGGCAGCCAGTCCTGCACTCATATGGTCTCCTGATCCCTCTAGTAGTGAACCCTGAGCACAGTGTCAGGAGTAACCCATGAGCATCACTTGACCTAAAACAAAAAAAAAAGTAAGAAACATCACTTTTTTTATATGTTCTTGAATGAAGAGAGTCACACATTGTTAATTATATAACATTTAACTTCAAGAAAGATATGTCTAAAGACTAGTGTTCATTGTGAAGAATAATACAAGTTACACCACAGTTTCTAACCTTGAAACATAAATCAATGAGATTTCTTGCTTGAGATTTCTTGCTAGGGCTTTTCATGTGGTTACTTTTCATGTGGCTTTTCATGTAGGCATGTTTATTCCCATAATTATTAGACAAGTAAAGAAACCTAAGAACTGTTAGCAAGATCAAGATATCCTTACTCAAGAACTCAACATAAAACCTGGATAAATACTATCACACGGATCTTCCTTTCTCAATTGCAAGTGAAATGTGAGGATCTATGTATGAACATTCTGTGTTCTGATGTTCTGGACAATAATTGTATCAATAACAAATGCAATGATACAAGACGACTTTACAAAATTATGAAGATGACCATCTAAAGAAACCAAATCAGAAAACCAAGACTGCCTAGGACTGGTTGATTTGAAATAACTGCATAGATCTCAGTAATCCAGGTCCAACTAGGTTGGATTACAGCTTCAACCGCCCCAACTGGATGCAGGAAGCAAGGAAACACTCCCTCAGACATACTAGCTCCAAGACTGTGTTATACTCTGTTTTCAAGGGAGAGAGGGGGAGGTTGCCCATAAGCACATACACAAAAAAAAAAAACCACTGTCCTCCTGTTGTTCATCGATTTGCTCCAGTGGGTCCAGTAATGTCTCCATTGTGAGACTTCTTGTTACTGTGTTTGGCATATTGAATACTCTCAGTAGCTTGCCAGGCTCTCCGCGAGCGGTGGAGGAATCGAACCCTGCTCGGCTGGGCTGGCTGCGCGCAAGGCAAACGCCCTACCACTGTGCTATCACTCCAGCCCTACAGCGGTAGGGCATTTGCCTTGCACGCAGCCAATATGGCCAACCCGAGTTCAATTCCTCCGCCCCTCTCCGAGAGCCCAGCAAGCTACCGAGAGTATCTTGCCCGCACGGCAGAGCCTGGCAAGCTCCCCGTGACGTATCCGATATGCCAGACACAGTAACAACAAGTCTCATGATGGAG